CTTAAAGGGCATTTTTTACTGGAATTGTGTTCACACAAATAAACGGAGAGTGGTGTCTGACTTTTGCATAGTTTGTGTATTTTCACTGTTATACTGGTGATTTGTGACTACTTACACGCCTGATTTTGAAGCTTTAGCATTTCGCTTTAGACCAAGAGGGCATCAAAAAGAGAAGAACAGAGCTTAACAAACTTAAAAAGGTTCTCCAAAGGTTCTTTAGTAAAAGAAATTGTTCTATTTAGAACCATGCATTCTACATACAACCATTTCATGCTTAAATGGTTCTTTATATGGTGAAATCGTTCTTCAGATTGATGCAAAAAGGGTTTTTCTCTTGTAAAAAGCCTGACATAGTAACAATAGAAGAACCCTTTTTGGTGCTGTATAAAAGCATTTTCACAACACAACATATACATACATACATACATATACACAACACCCAACAACCTAAAGAAACATTTCACCATGAAAAAAACATATAAGTAAAAACCATTCCTTGAAGAACCCTTATTGAACCATCTTTTTTTCACTGTACACTGATACATGATGAATGTACTAAGACACGCCACTACAGTTCTACCTTTTACTCAAAACTTAAGTGGTTCTACTTTTTTTATTCTTCCCAAGCAGTATTTAAAGAAGGCACTTTTACTTCTATTTAGCTGAAGTAACACTTTTACTCAAGCATGGCTGCAGGCTGCTCTACCCACCTCTACTTATGCATTTCAAAATGGAAACCAAATGGAGAAAAGTGTAAATAGCTCTGAATCAGCAGTGAACTCAGGTACACAAGAAGATCCAAAACTAGGACTCACAATACAGCCACCTGACCTGGCCTGCTGTACACACTCCACGCTTACATTCCAGACAGAGCGCATGCACACACACACACACACACACACACACACACACACACACACACACACACACACACTTTCTCCCTCTCCTTCTCCTGTCAACACCATCTTTCTCATATTATCTACTAAAACATGCACACGCACACAAACACTGCCTTTCTATTTTCTGCTTATCTCCACAGACACACAGGCCCACACAACGATAGAAAGTTGGTGGAGTGGGAGAACTGATTCCATCTCTGTATTTCAGCTGCACAGTTTATCATTTCAATCGAGCGTATCCAATCAGGTTTACACAAACTAAACATATGACGCAAGACAAGCCAATCATTTAAACCGCTAACACGCTTTAACTTCCAAACAGTATGAACAATAAGGTGCTTCCCCGAAATATTTGGCAGGCCTGTGTATTATGTGTATTCTAACATACACTTTTACGTCCAAAAGTATCCAAACACTCCTTCTAAATTTCCAACTAGTGAATTTGGCCCATACAATAGAAATGACCTCAATTTTATGAAATCAGAGTCTGATGTAGTAAGCAAACATCGCTCCCCAGTCCATATATGGAAATTAAGTTGCAAAAACAGCCCATTTCACATTTAGTGTTTTGTCATGTCACGAAAACCAACACATTTACATGTATCTGCCTATATACCTGTAGCAATTTAGCCCCACCCACTAATAACTAAAGTTATAAGAAGTGTTTCAGCCCGGACTGCTGTTTGAATGAGACACGATACAGGACAGCTAACCAGAACAGAGCTTATTTACATAGATCAGTCTTAAAGACACAGTAACAAAAGCAGCCTGTTACAGAATATTGAATATGGTCATATAAAATAGAGTTATGATTGTACGATTAAGGTGCAGCCTTAATCACATATTCTGTGCACACAGCTTGTAAAATCTCCCTTGGAAAGCACCGTCAATAGAACGGGACACTTTAAAGAAGCCAGACGTGAGCCTAAGATTACTTTTCCCAAAGCCAGTTCAGTCCTCTTTCACTGATTACATGATCACCTGATCGCAATTATTTTCCATTTATGTCACAACAAACAGAATGAGACTTGTGTGTGTTTTCATGTTAGACCGAGGTAATTACATATAAATAAATGAAAACAGAAACACATTTATTGATACACGGTACAGGTCTCATGAAGACTAACAAAAGTATGACAAAAACTAAAGTCTGAACTTCTGACTTTGTGATACATGTTTAGAGGGCAGTAATGCTTGTTTATTTGAGCTGGAACTGTTTTGGTCATCTGTTGAAAGCTAATTATTAACAACTCACGAATCCGCCAATTTGGCCAATGGACTGCAAGAGTTGCATACAATAAGGAAAAGGCAATTCAATTGCTGATTGCTTTTATTTATATAGCAAAATATAGCAATTAATCGTCAGATAAAACTTTGTGATCATAATAGGCCTACGCCAAACAATGTAGAGGAGTATAAAGCCCTCTAGCACTGGGGCTGTGCAGCAGTGGAACTGCTGGAGCTCCATCAAATACCTTTGGAATGAGTTGCAGAGGCTTTTATGATTCTGAGCTAATCATCCAACATCAGTAACTGATCTCACTAATGCTCTTGTGGCTGAATGCAATCAAATCCTCACAGCAATGTTCCTAACATCTTATGTAAAGCCTTCTTAGAGTAGTAGAGGCTGTGCAGCAATGGGAGAAACTCAATATTAATACTCTTGATTTCAGAGGAAATGTTGGATTAGCAAGTGTCTACAAACTTTTGGACATAGTGCAGCTCTAAGGCAGCTCTGAGCTCTAAGCACCATAGGCTCCCAATTGCTGAGGATGCAGACCATGATGAAGGTGGATACATGACTCTTTTTGATCACCAGGTCAAACAGCTCGGCTCTCGAGTCATGCGCTACGCTCGGCGTCGATGCTGGGCAACCAGCTGAGCTCCGCGCGGTATTTTCGACATCTGGACCTCAGATATCAGCGAGCAGTCAGAGCCCCGTGGCCTCTCTCACCGGCCCATAAAACACACTGTGTATGCGCTCAAAGCCAAGTCAAATAAATCCAAAGGAGCATTTAGGCCGTGACTGTGAGACTGAGGTTTAGGAGAGCAGGTCATTGTACGGAGTCAGGACTGTGTCAGTGATAGGGAGTCTATTCCAAAAGAATCGATTCTTCGACTTCGGAAAACGCAAACCAATGTTTTTCACAGAACGGTGTGGAGAAGAGGATGAAGTTGGGATTTGCGCCTTACTTGCCAGCTTCTTATTCAAATTCCGTTCCACCTTAAATGGCGCTGATATTACTGGCGCCATTAAGATAACTGCTGCATCACTTAAGGTGGACCGGCAAAGTCGAACAAAAAGCTGGCGAATACGAAGCCAACTTCAGCCTCGTGAAAAAGGAAGAAGATGAAATCCACCCAGTTCCTTTTCAAGTAATGGAAAAAGATTTCATGACTACAGGAATGATTTCCCTAGTACATCACTCAGAGTTTCCCCAGCCCCTCATTATGTGAAAAACGTCCATCGTATCATTATAATCTGTCGCTTCTCAACCACGTTTAGGATGGTTTAATCTCTGCTGTATCCATTTATCACCGGATCTGGCGTTGTCTTGGTTAAAATTAAGTGGAGTAGAAAAGTCGACTGGATCGATTCCACTGGCAGGAGTCAAGACTCGGAGTCGACCCCAGAAATCCTGAACCGTTCATCACTAGACAGTGTGTGATACAACACAGCCACCTAGCGGATAAAGAGTGTAACAACAGGAGAACCATTTAAACCACTACCTACGTTTTGAATTGAGAGTTTGATGTGGTAGCTTATGTAAACACTGATAGTTTCAAAACGTGCCGTTGCTCCCCGTCCATTCAATATAAAAATGCAAACTAGGCAGAAAAAACAGCACCGTTTTTGTGAGCACCAAAACATTTGTATAGCTAGGTTATATAAATTTTACAAACGCAGAACGTTTTGAGAAGTTTAGACATATCACATAAAATCTGAGACTATATGCTTCGGTTGTAAACTTGATGTATAGCCGGGGTGTAGTGCCTTTCTTTTTGCTGTTGTTAACTGTGTAGCCTTTAGCATGCCAGCTAACTAGCAAGCTATGCAGAGTAGAGTGATGTTTCAGGAGTCATGTTTAACAGACGGACTAAACGAACTGAAGCCCAGCAAATCTAATATTACGACTTTGAAACTGTAAGCATTATAAATTAACTTACTTTACTGATGTGGTTTATAAACAGCTTTATTGCCCGTTAAGCTATTATGTTCGGTGTTTAAAATGGGAAATGCGTCAGAGCACGATGATTTTCAGAGCACAGTGACGTTGCCAGAGTCGTCATTTGCGTTAACTCGCCCCTCGAATTAGTTCGTCTTAACTAATTAAGTCAAATTGCTTATAATTCACTGAGACGTAAACACATTATTCAAAGTATTTTGATGTAAAATTGTTCGTAGAGAAACGTAGTGACTTTCCTTGTAGTGGTATAACGGGCTGTCTACAATGCAAATATTGCCATTTTTATTTACAGTCCAAAATAATCCATATGGGTTATGAAAGAGGGCACAGTTCACTGGTAAAAATATAAATAGAAAAGCCTGTAACACTCAACATGTCGTCCGTTTACGAGGAAAGCCCCGCCTCAAAAGAGCCAATCAGCTTGCTGTTTAAGCTAGCGGGCAGTCCTGTTTTTCAGTGTTGTTTTTAGCTAAATGCTACAAACTGTTAATGCTGTATTTGTCAGATTTTATCAGAGGTTTTAAATGTTTATTTGAAACGTTAATATGGCTTCTGGATTTGGTTTTAAAGGTCTCTCCACATTCAAAGGAGCCTAGTCTTTGAAATAACCATATTTATGGAAATAATTTCCTGGTGGCGGAGCTAAGATGGCCACCTAGTGAACAGACTTTGGTAAAGTTAATAATGGTAAAATAGTGGTAAATCTGGAAAAAAATCTTTTGGGAACTGTTTTGCCTTACAGCACCTTGCATGTAGTTCTCCTCCCTTCAATTTTAAAAGTAAAAAAAAAACACCCTGACTTTAAGTTTTAGGCCAAAACCTATGATCTCAAACTATCATATGAACTATCATAAAACAGCGCCTCTGGCATCAGACAGCAAACTTATCTTTGAGAATTTCATTAAAGCAGATGTAAATTATAAAGTCTGTTTAATTACAAAGGATAAAGAGAGGTTGGAAAATGGTCCGGTAAAGTTTTTGGTACAGTTAACTTTAAAAGTGGAGAAAAAAATAAAATACAATAAAACTATACAACTTTGTCCCTTTAAGCCATATATTGGTTAAAAACTGGTTAAAAATACACAAATATATATGGAAGAAACATACATTTTGTTTATGCGATGCTTCCTTTCTTCTTTTCACTTTCCTGAATACACAGATTTTTTAAAAGAAGACATCATTGAGTAAAGTGTGAGTTAAGATTTTGACAACCAACAGATGCTCAAATGCTAATGCTTCAGCAAAAAATGAGAAATACAAATACAGTCAGTTTTACTGATGCATTTTCCTTCTCCTTTGCTACACAAGCATAAACTGTATTTGGGGTTTCTTTCGCACTCTTTGGCCAAAATATTCATTTAATTTACATCATGAGTTCATGGTGTCCAAACTAAAATAAACTAGCTAATTAAATTAATCTATTGCTAAAAGTAAAATGATGAGGATGAACTGAACAAAAAGGGTAAAGGCTGAAACAAGATGGACAAACAGAAACACAAGAATAACTTAAAAATGACAGGATGGAGGGAATGAGATTAACAGAAAGACAAGGAGAGAGGACAGCAGACACTGTTAGTCGCCCTTTTTGTCCACTATCAGTCTGCTGGCGAGGGGTGCGAAGGTCTCAGCCACCAGCAGAGGGAAAACTATAGAGGCATCTGCATAAACCTGTAAGAGGACAGACAAAACAGACAAATAAAGGTTACTACAGACGAGGGATGGGCATTCTGATAATTCTCAACATTCTAGTATCTGCAAAAAGAGCCAAGCTATGGCCTACAAAGACACCATCTCTCAACCCTATTGAAGACATATGGGAGGTTTTGAACAGACTTGTCAGACAGCGCTCTCCATCACCACCACTATCAAAACACGAGAACAATACGGGGAAAATCATTTGGAAGAACAATGTTCCATCCCTCCAGTACACTTTCAGAGACCCCAGTGAATCTATTCCAAGGTGCACTGAAGCTGTCCTGGAGACTCATGGTGGCCCAACACCTTACAGAAACACTATTTTGTTTTTTCCTTTTTTTCTTCAAGTCTGTATGTTAATGAGGTCAAACGGCACCTTGACAGGTTTGGCATCCATGCGGATCTTTCCCCAGGACACAGCCTCATCCGGTCTGGCCCCTGAGTCTGACCCATCAAACTCCTGCCCCGTGTTCACAAACACTGCAAAGTCAGCACCATTCCTCTAGAAGAGGAAAAAAAGAAGAGGCTTAGAAGCCAGACTTGTTGAGAAGTTCCAGTTAGAGACACAGCAGCTCGTGCTCTTGATATTGGGTACACACCATAAGATTCGCGTTTGCAATGTGGTGCTTGACGAGGCCTCCTCCCAGGATGATCATGCCTGTGCTTTTCGCAAACACAGCTTTACTGTTCAACCTCCGGATATCTACAACATAAACATTAGGACCAGTTTAAGGTTAATAACACTGCACTGACAATATACAAAGATTTTATGTCAACAGAATACCTTCCACGATGTCCAGCACCAAACCAGGATTCTTATAGGAATGGAAATAGATCATGTCACCCAATGAGCCATCCGTGAGGGCGGGACTAAACACTGGGATGTCATTCTGAAAAACAAAGAAGTTTAGTTACTGCTGACCTAAACTGACCCATTAATGAACGAAAACCAACTGAAATTGTTTTAACTCTACCTTGTAGGCCCAGTAGTAGACAGAGTCAGGGTTGTTGATTTCTTTGCCCAGTCTGTGGATCATCTTCGAGGGAGTCCAGTGGGTGCCCTGAGTGACACACAAAGCATATTTTTACACCCCTCTCATACAATTAATCGTACAACATTCATTGGTGTCATTTAATGGGCAGATTTCACACTGCGTTTTTTGAAGACAAAACACGAGGTACGCAGTCTTATTCTTCTGAAGGTTCACACAGCATTTATTTTAACCAAGGCTGCGTATCTCACTGTTACTCAGCAACAATAAGGTCATAACTGTTAATCAGCTGTGTTAGCTGGCTGCTGTTTTGATATGTGGAGGGTTTCCCCTTAGGAAGTGTTCTACCAGTAACTAGTAGATAGTAGTACTATTAATTAGCAAGTGTGATGCTACAAGATAAAACAAACTAAACTAAAAAATAAGCTGTGAAAATATAAAAAATAAGATGTGAAAAAATAATCTGTGAAATAGAGTAAGTTCAGTGTACTCAGCCACTGCAACCATCACTGAAGGCCCACCTTCCTTTTAGTCAGCACAGAATATACTTATGACTACCTGAATGCTTCAAGTCATATTTTTTCAACTCAGGGCACCTGGAGCGCTCCTTACAAAAGACAGCTGTGCAGGGTGCATGTCATGCAAGGCATCCAGCACTCAGAATTCAACACACACAATTTGTTTCTCCCATTGAAAATAATAAAAAAGCATGTATATGTGCAATGGATATATTATGCATACACAATTTGCAATAAAAAGCGAATGTTCTGCTACCATGGATGCAGAGTGCACAACATCATTTGTTTTGCTCAAACCAAGCATTAAATGTGCTATAATCTCCTCAACCTCATATGTTCCAGAAGAGCTTCTATGGGTGTTTGGATGAATCAAGGCACTCACATCATCCAACAAATTATTCTGGCCAAAAATAATGCGAGCCAACCTCATTACATCAAGATTTCACCTAAAATCATAGCATAATTGGACTGTGCAGCAATATAAGCCTAATATGTAATTTTATCATTATCATGCAGCACTACCATGGATAACTGACCTCCGTTTTCTGTTCCAGCACCATCTGGTCCAGAATAGGCATTAACCAGTCCTCAAACTTGCAGTAGTTATCATTCGGGACCAAGAGGTTGCCAATCCTGAAATGGAAAAGCCTTATCGAAACAAATCTGGCACTCAAAATACACATACTGTCACTTTAGTGAGATACAACTTAGATCTTCAAACAAGATCTAAGTGGCTCTTTAAGGTTAACGTAGTGATGACAGACAGACTTGTGTAAGTAGGTAGGCAAAGGACCATAGTACTAATTGAAAAGAGAAGAATGTCCCACCTGTTGATGCCTCTCTGTCGGAGCTCTTTGCCTGGAAGGCTGAACTCACCCAAGTAGGTGGGCGCCAAGCACTTAATGAGGTCTTCCTCAACACCTCCTGCTGTCGTCACAATCACGTCCACCTGCATCCACACAGTGTGCTTTGAGCATCCTGACTAATCACAGTTCCAGATAACTGTTCTGCATACTACGGACCCTTTTCACACTCGGATGCCATTAAGAGGAAATAGCAACAAAGCAGGTAAAAACACTTCCAGACTGCCAGTCAGTCCAAAACATGGAAGTAAGGCGCTTCACAAGCTGTCTTGAGGACCTTCATATATTTCAGGCAGTGATGTAGATTTATAAAAGAATATACACACACAAAACACACACCAAAAAGAATAAAGGACATAGGCTGATCTTCGAAAACTAAATTTTTGACTTTCAAGGAAAGTTACTTTATCATAGCCAGCTAACTTTGTTCACTTAGCGGGCTAACTTGGCTAAAGTTACTAGAATTGTTGGCTTGTTTTAACATGAAAAACATCCTAGAAGAAGCACTGCAGCCAAGCTTTTAGTTTTCACGCGTGGAAAGCATCAATGGAGTGTATATTGTAAGATTTTGAAGCTATAACTGTGCAAAAGTGAGGTAGCTTCACTGGCAAAACAGAACATTTTTAGTTTTCAAAATTGTTGGCAGGGACTATATTCAGGGCTGGGAATGAAAAATCTCTGAAAGCAATGCAAAGGAAGACAATGGAACTGGAGCTAAATTAAGCTGATTGTTGATGCTGACACATACCATCTTGTGCTGGGCAAGGTAGCGAATGGTCTCGCGGACACCAGAGCTGATGAGGTTGGAGGTGTAACCCAGAAAGATGGTACATCCGGGACAACCCTGCTGATTTTGTTGCTCCTCCTGTTCTTCCACTGGCTCCAGACGCTTCTCAATCTAAAGAAAACACAAGCATGACAGTTCCTTTGGAACAAACTGTTCTTCCTTATCGACAAAATATGCTTTATATTCAGTGCTGTGAGAAAGTATTCCCTATTTTTGTATTCTTTTATTTTTGCATGTTTGACACATTAACTGATCATTTCATTTATGGAAAGAAAAAAAGTTTTGCAACACCTATTTCATGCAATCTGGTGTGCATCCCCACACCGTAAAACTACCACCACCATGTTTGACTGTTAGCATAATATTTTCATTGTGGAATGCTGTGTTAGCTTAGACTCCTGTCTTCCAAAACGTTCCACTTTCAACTCATCAGTCCACAGAACATGATTTCTTTTGGGTCATCAAGGTTTTTTTTTGCAAATGTGAGATGCCTTTATGTTCCCCTTGGTTAGCAGTGGTTTTCACTTTGCAACTCTCCCAATTTTTGCCCAGTCTCTTTCTAATGGTGGAATCATGAATGCTGAACCTATCTATGGTGAGCAAGACCTGCAGTTCTTTAGATGCTCGTCTGGGTTCTTTCGTGACTTCCTGGATGAATTCTCAATGTACACTTGGAGGAATTTTGGTGGGCCAGCCACTCCTGCGCAATTTCACCCCTATTCCAAGTTTTCTCCTTTTGGAAATAATGGCTCTCACTGTGCTTCGCAGAAGTCTGGGAGCCTTAGAAATAGCTTTGTAACCCTTTCCAGAATAATATATTTTTGATACATATCTTTTGAATGCAGTACAGTCTGCTGCCTGTTGAGACCGTTTAGCCTATCTGTCTGACTATATATATATATATATATATATATATATATATATATATATATATATATATATAGTCAGACAGGTCTTATAGGTATATAAGAAGTCCTTTGAGCTCACCATCTTATTGATCTCCTGCACAGCCAGTGCAAAGCTGCTGGCCTGGAAGCCCGTGGTGAGGTAGGAGTGCAGCAGCGCTCTGTGGTCCACCCCCTGGTTAAAGTCATAGCCTCGGATCTGTGGCACATCCTCTGGCAGAGCGGTACTCTCCTTCAGGACTGCATCCCTGGCCACGGACGGCACGCTATCTGCCATAGGGCCTAGAGAAATAGCATTGAGGACACAGGTAGATAGCTTAAAAAAAAAAAAGCAGCTTCCTTATGATTGCATATGATCAAACATTAAACAGACTTCAATAGTGTCAATAATGTGATAATCAGTGCTTTACTGACTGATATTCCTGCTAGCTGTCAACTGTGGATTGTCAAATATAATTGTTCTCAACTGTCAAATTTTGCAAATGCAAATAAACAGAGACTCTTTTACCATATATGCAGCAACATTCATTTTCAACTACTTAATGGCCTCATCATTCAAATTATACAGTTATATTCCAGAGGAAATGTAAGCATTACAAAACATATAAGCTTTGAAAGTTTTTAAATATGCTTTAATTTTTCCTACAGATAAAAATAGCTATGCGAATGGTTAGAAACTGATTCCCTCTGATTCCAGTCATTTGGGAATTGAGAATCAACTCCAAAGCTCTCCATTATACAAAGAGACATTAAAGTTTGTCCACAGTCACTGTATATTTTGCCAGATATCCTCCCCTATGTATGAAATATAAGAAGAAATATTGTGTTGAATCAACTCTTGCAATCGATTCCCGTCACTTGAAATCTGAATCTAAACTGTTGGAATGAAACAGTCCTGTTCATAATGTAGCATGAGTGATGGAGCTGCCCAGCATTCTCAGCACTTTTATTGGTTTCTGTTAATTAACTCTTATTTCTCAAAAAAATCATCAATTCTCTTCACGTTTTTGTGTTATAACATGATGTAGGCCTGCAATTAGCACTGCAATTATTTTGTTTACAATCATTAGAATTCACAATCATATTAAGCTTCAACAAACAAAATGTAAATTGGGTGAAAGTGGGTTGAGGCAATTAGAATATGGGCACGTACCAGTGCAAACGCATTACTTATTCTGCGTACAACCACTGTCAGCTGCTAATTAAATAAAGGTAGCCAACAAGGTGGCTAAACAGCCAATTTGGTCACTTTAGACTTGTTTTTTAATAGTTGCAAACAATGAACAAGTAAAGACAAACAGTTAATCGCAATTATTGATAAGACAATTAATCGCCGCTAAAATGTCATGAATACAACAGTCCTAACATGATGTCCTCATGCTACAGGATAGATGTAGTTGCAATTAAGATGCTTTTAATTAAAAATGCCATCCTGGTGTTTTTAACAATTTAGTATATACTGCTGTATTGGCAGTTACCAAGGGTTTTATTCACATAGCATGTCCATTCAGGAGCTGTTTCTGGATCAGTGTGACGGATGTCTGTAAGGAGTGTATCAAATCCTAGATCTGCTGTCCTATTATGAGATGCTTTGCAAATAAGTTACCACTCCAGTTTACTCTGTATCGGAAAAAACGTTTTGTGACATAATTTATCACGATAACGACAGAAATTTGTCATATCGGCCACCCCTACTCTGTATAGAAAGGGCAAAGGAATACATTTCCATGAATATCCCTCCCCCTCCCTCTCTCTGTCTATGGATAAACACAAGAAGCAAACTCATGTCCTTTACCTCTGATGGAACCTTGGATCTGCCATTTTACATGTGAAAGCGACAAGCTAGTGTCCATTTTTTGTGAAGTGGTCAGATCTCTAAATAAATATTTGTTTTATTTTTTAATAAGAGAATCTTTTCGAGACTGAGTCCGTTGCACAGTAACAATGTGTGTATACGAGGCTAAAGCTAATGGTACTGCAGCCGCCTGTTTTCTTCCCACTGTTCCTCTCTGACTAAAATACTTTGATGAACTACGGTTAGTACCACAGAAGATTTTGTCATGCAGTTTTTGAGGTACTTACTTTATGGGATTTTGGCTGAAATATCTGTATTCAGAAGCCGATCCTGCCACATTGGACAGGCTCTGTTGTGACAGGTTACCCACGTTTTTTTTCCTACAGACTACGGTGCCCTCGAAGGGACAAACGCAGACAGCCTTCTGTGGAGGGAGACATTTCGGATACAACAGATGGAAAAAGAAAACCGAAACTGCTAAATAAATACATAGAAGTGTACATGCTGCTATTTATTAATGAATACACTTAATATTTTTTGAATGAGTTCGATAAAACAAAAATACTGACGTTTACTTTGAAACCATCACTCTTTCACACACACAAAATAAGAATTTATGCCATTTATCAATTCATTTTAACCGTGCTAGAATAGAAAATCCAGCATGGCACGGCTGGTCACCAGCGAAACTAGCGTTAGCATGCTATGTTCTGGATGCTGATATGCTAGTCAGCCGCAATTTGTGTTAATATGCTGGTCACTAGCAAAACTATGCTGTATTTCGGATGCTGATATGCTAGTCAGCAGCAATGGAAGTTAACGTGACCTGCAAAACTATGTTGAGTTAACTAGTCACCAACAAAACTATGTTGTGTTTCGGATGCTGGTATGCTGGCCAACCAGCATGACCATGCTGCGTGACCAGCCAAACCAGCACTCGACCAAGAGTTTTTTTTTTTTTTTACTATAATTGTATGAAGATAACAGTTATAACAGATAAGTAAACTTATTGTGTCCAAAAATTTATTTTTTAAGTTCAAGAAATGTTTTACTTAGTAGAGTTTTCATTTAATAGAGAAGATGAAGCTTCCTAGGATTTCATAGCGCTTTGTTTGTTTTGTTGTTGTTGTTGTTCTGTTACCTTTTGTTTTCTTTATTTTTTTTATCAGAAGATAAATGTTCCGTGCATTATATGTCTATGATATGTGTCGTCTGAGTCAATCTGCTCTGAGTTTTAATTAATTTAAAGGTTTAATTGCATTGACAATTAGATTGTGTGATGGACAAACATTTTGAGTTCCATCAAACAGAAATATTTGCGACACCATCCTCAACAATTGAGCCCCCTCAATGAGAAACCATTAACCATTCCACTCTTTTTTGCATTATTAGATACTTCGTACATTAAAAACCAAAATCATTTACATTTCAGTGACCCCTTTATTTTAAACGCAGGGCATCAAACAATGTCATATCATACTTAAATACAAATAGAGCTCAATTAAAGTATTATATATTTAAAACATATGTGTGTACCTGACTGTAAATCTGTAACTCAACGTTTGATCTTATAAACCTGAAAATATCAAGGAAACTGATTACCTTAATTATTGTATAATGTGTAATGTGGGTTTACAGTGCATGTCAAATTTCAGTTTATGCTTGTGTTAATAATATTTTCATCAGTTCAGATTGCATTTCCGATAAAGAAACTCTGGATTAAAAGCTAAAATGGCTTGCCGCACATACATAGGCTATTTCTTTCGGCCCCTCTGGGGATTCCCTTTCTGATGGTGTGTGATGTTGGCCTGACATTTCTACACCTGCCTGCATGACCTTTCAACTCACCCACATCACAGGACCCTTTGAAGTGTTCTTCAGAGTGACCACAGGCCCACAATGGGGGGAGAGAGCAGGTTAAATAGCCAAACAGGAGTTCAGCTCTTTCATACAACCCATATCTGAACTCAACTCCCTTCTGACCTACAGCTTTACGCAACTCGTCCAGGAGAAGCACCTAAGTCATTATCACAGCGTCAATTAAAAGAGGCGCACAGCAGCGCTGAATAGTGCTCAGACGATCACAGGGACTCAGTGGTCAGTGGGAGGATTATGACAGTCTGAAGGCCGTGGCTCAGGGATGGAGGCTGGAAAGGTGTACAGCAGTAACACTGTGCTCCAGGCCAGAAAAGCAGTAGAACAGCTGAGACTGGAGGCCGGCCTGGAGAGGATCAAGGTAAGCACATTTTGTAACAGTGCTTCTGAGCATGAATATATATTTTTTTAAAAAGTTCAATTTGAAAGCTGATCAAAACCTCACGATACACAAGTTCAGCTTGAAAAATTCCATCTTTTTTTTTTTAAACATTGGCTTTTTCAAAGTGAGCTCACTTAGTTAGAAATTATTTGTTTTGTTAAATAAATTTATTTAGCTTATAAAAATTGATGTGGATTCTTTTGGTATGGTATACATAAATTTCTTAAAAACTATATTAAAATTCTACAAAGAAGCGAGAATAGCTCCCATTTTGAAGTGCTTCAAGCTTAGGCTAGTAATTAATTAGCTTCTTATTTTGCACTTACACTTCAAACACTTACACTTTACACTTTTTTATATCTTTTTTTTAGCACTACTGTCAGAATATTGGAAAATATCTTCATATATAGTCAAGTTCATATCACTCACACAATTTTCTCTTATTTTCTTTAAATAAAGTAGTTTGAAGTGATATGTAAACTATGTATAAGGTTCAAAACATCATCATTCACTGCCCAGACTACAAATGGAAAATAAACTGCAAAAACAGGCTCTTTTGAATTCATTTGATTCACAAGAACCAGCGAATTTAGATATACCCACATATTCAGTGTACAGCAGTTTAACCCCACCCATTCACACTGAAGCTCTAAAGAGTGTTTCAGCTGCGAGTGCTTTTTGAATGAGGCACAATGCAGGTCAGCCAATCAGAACAGAGTTGATTTATATCGGTATTAAATGCATAGTAACAAAAACAGGCTGGTTAATTCTGTGGGGTAAAGAGAGGTTGGAATGTAAATGGCCATGTAGTGATGGCCATGTAATGGCCATTATGTACCATGATTGGTACATAAAACCACAAGAAGGTTTAAGTGCACCAATGGGGAAAAGCTAAATTGCTAGAAAAAATGTAGGATACGGACCCTTTAAGGTACATTTCAGTGTTGAGAAGATTTTCTGAAGACATTTTGAAAAGTTGCTGACCCTTTTGCTTGAACTCTATTAGCTGGGCTGATGGTGGTGGTGTGTTTGCCGCAGATTTCGGCTGCAGCTGCTCAGCTTGTGCAGTACTGTCAGGAGAACCGGAGGGGAGATCCACTACTGACTGGCATCGCCGCCTCATCAAACCCTTTCAAAGACAAGAAAACCTGTGTACTACTGTGAAAGAGGAAAAGACATGAAACCATGTGATACAAACGACGTAAACACCACAGAGATGGCCATAATATCCATATACATTCAGTGTTGTACATATCCTTGAGTGATTTTAAAAGCATTACTTCTTCAGTATTACTTGTGCTTGTAAATGTCCTGTGTAATGGATTTCATATCTTTAACCCATTCATGTCCTTTAACTAAACTGAAAATCAAAATACAAAAGAACTGGTATAACTGATGATGTTTTGCATTTGAGTTTAATGAACATCTAACAGTACGCATTTAAATAGTCTGCCTGCATGTAATTTTCATACTTTTTTTCTGTATGAAATTTAGATGTTGTTAAAAATGTGTAGTCCTGTGAGACTGAATATGACAAATAAGCTCTCCTTAAAAAAGAGATGCCAAAAAGGGTTTTTAAGCAATGCTACAGAAGAACCACTTTTGGTACTGTAAAAAAACATGTTTTTAAAAAGATTTGTGAGTGTGAAGAATTTTTACCTTCACAAAATGTTAAGATTCTACCCCAATTTGTCCTTATTACAGCTTCGTTCCATTACAGGAGCTTTCAATTTTTCAAGCAAATTTGCAGGGATACTTTTCCACACCAGTTTGGTCTGAACAGTTGGTTGCATTTTCTGCTTATAAAGAGTAAGAAGGGGTCCCAAATACATTCAAAGTTGCTGAGGTCTGGACTCTGGCGTGGCCGGTCTGTTGTTTTGAGAACACCAACAGCTTCTTTGTTCTATTTCCCTGTCTTAGTAAAAGCTTCTGAACAGCTGCACATCCTTTCACACTCATGATGTCTAGTTGTCTTCTAACAGTGGAAGAATGAACAGAAACAGCCGTGTTTTTTTTTTTTTTCTTTCTCTAAGATGAAAGTTTTAGGTACTGTTTATCGGATGATGACAGTTTTTGCGTTCTACCAGGTCTTGCATGGTCGTTAGTGGTCCCATTTACTCTGTAGCTTTTAATAATTTTTGAGCACTGGTTTGTGAAACTCCTGTTTTTTCACTTATTTTCTTTTGACTTTCCCTTTTCTCAAACAAGGGGATTGATTATCTTACATTTAACCTTCTTGGAAACATCTCTGAAAAATTAATAATGTTATTTAAAAGCTCTTTTGACAGGAAATTAGTAAATGAAGGGTGCTCTCTGACTTGCACAGTTCTGTGTGTGTAGTTTGCCCCTTGATTTATTAATCCACTGGAATCCAACTCAGACGCAACTTTGTTTAATGAGACTGTTTATTATATTTTTGTAAAAAATCACACACAAATTAAAAAAAGTTGTCAAATGGTGCAGCTTGGGTGGGTCAGTATTCAGGCTTACAAGGAATGAAGTCCCAGTATTTGACTGAGAAAAAGTTGCATGAGTGTTCAAGAGTATTAGAGCTACAGACGAATAAGAGAACTTTTATGAAGATTAATACTTGCCGATTCAGGACATACACAACAATTTCAATTCACACACTCGCAGAAGAGGAGTATGAAAAACACTGTTCAGCCAGTCAGTCAGTCTAAATGCGGTACGGAAAGCAATTAGGTGCAGCGTTTGACTTTCAAGTTTTCAAGCAATGAACTGCCACTCCACAATGAAATCATAGAAACGACGTGATGTACTGACTTGGCAGTAGAAGCCTTTGAAAAGATATAAGGCTGATGCTGTACTTCTGTAATTTGTGCGATGTGAAAGTCTCTTTGTGTGCTATCGGAGTAATATGTGTCACAGAGGAGGACCACAGAGGTGAAGCTGGAATGCTTATAAAGGAATGTGAAGTGTTTTAAAACTCTTTAACCTCTAACAGCACTTTTTAGACAAGTATTAAAGTGTGCTACACTAACCAAGTCAGTTTTTCAGTGTCCCTTTAACAACACAAATCAGTACGATTCAGCAACAACTTTGAAATACCATCTACATGTATGTGCAGTTTCAGGGTATGTTAAATAGTTTATAATAAATATGTTTAAAACACATATAGTGTTGCTGTATTTTTTTCCACAAACACACATGAAGGTAAACTTATCAGTGTAGTGCCTTTGGCAGATTATACGATTACATCATCACAAGACAACACGCTGAACAGACGATCCTTCCCACACCTCCTACTAGACAAACTGCTCTCCAGACAGATAGAGGGTGTCGTCTGTGGTTCATACAGAATCTCTCTGTAGTGAGCTGTCACTGCCTGGGCCTCCACACCTCCACGTTCATATCACCAGAAGCTATAGCCAACACGCCCGCCTCCACACTTAACTACAGAGAGAGAGAGAGAGAGAGAGAGAGAGAGAGAGAGAAGACTTTGAACTTTGGTTGAACTACTGAAGAAAGGGGTGTGTCCAAATAAAAAATATTGCTCATTAAATATTCAATCCTCTGCGTCACTGATGTAAATCATATAGAAGAAGAAAAAAAGCCCTTCAGATTCTTTAAACAATTCCAAATAGCAAATTTGGCTATTTGATAAATAAAAAAAAATCGGCTGAAATATATTTAGGCTGCTGAGGCTTGAAATGCCTACAACCACAAAACTAAAAACAATCCTGACCAGCATTACTGTTTAGTAAACGTTTGTAAACATCAAAGTTACGCAAGGCTGCTGAATTATGTAAAACTCATTCACATGGAAAAGGTCTACTGTATGAACTGTATCTAATGTTTGATTTAGCTACGTCAGTTGCAATGTGTGTCTGGTCAGAAAACTATCCAAAAGAATGCTTTGGGACAACATGTAACAGAACTAAAGAACCCATAGGTACCTGACAGCTTCGGTAACATGATTGTGGAAATGTAAAAAAAATAAGAGATAGACATGCTACTTAAACATACAGTGGCAAAAAACTACCAAACTTGAGTGGTGGGGTGAGAGAATATCATCACTGTCTGAATAAATGTATCTCTATTTTTGTCATTTTTTTTTTTACATAATTTGACAATGCAATCTACCATCTACATTAAGTTCAAATTTCATGACAATTGAGGATAGAAATGCTCCAAAATTACTTGGAAAATACACTGTTTCATTGACTTTCAATCAAAGCTATGAACGTTCAAAGTTATGAGGCTTTATTGCAACCGCAATGATCTGTAACCGGTCAGAGGTTGTTCATTTCTTGAAACAGGCAAAACTATCTGTCAGTGTAGTGAGATTATTTCACTTAAAGTCACTTAAAATAGGCAAAACAAATGTCTTCAAAAAGTTAAATCATATAAGCTTACAATAACCTCAAAATGAGAAATATTAGATACATACACTAGTTTTAAGATAATTTTACTTGCCAAGACACTATTTTTTGAGGTGCACAAACAAACCATTCTGAAAGCTTGGAAGGTGGTCTGAATTCGGTTCATTTGTGGATCCATTTATATTTGGCGTGTTGGCAGATATGTGCAGAAGACTGTGACTGAACAGACTGGGACCGCCTATGACTTGAACTGATTTAAATGTAAGAAAATGACCTATGAGAACTCAGTTAAAAGAAAGCAATCAACATTCGACAGTCACAAAAAGCATGAAACACAGTAGTGAGTTATGACTGAATATTAAATGTGGTAAAACAGGGCAGTCTGGGACCAGGACAAGGGTCTCACAGCAGGAATGCTGATCTTGAATGTTTGCTTTTGTGGCTTGGCCTGATAGTAGTAACCATAAGATTAGTAAACTGAACACACCCAGTGAAGGAAGCAAACTATGCTCATGTGGGAATAAAATGAGACTACACCTACCCCGTTCACTCCTGCCTGATGGTGAAGAGTACACAGAGTCTTTGGGGGTGCGCATGGGAGGTGAACCTAAATCAAGCCAGAAAACATAACCTACTGAGCATGCTACATATAAAAGTAACAGTGATCATTGAGCTTACACACTGAAAGATACTGTAGTATTAGTACCCAGTAAAGTTAAATCTCTGTGAATTAACCTTAATAGTGCGATCAGAGGAGCATGTGTAGAGGGTGCCAGGTGAGTTATGGACGCCCGTCACCAGTGAACTGTGGCCCACATTAAACTGAGCTATAGACTTAAAGGAGCCTTCGTTCATGGAAAAGGTGTGGACAAGTCCGTGATTATCTCCTGCCCACACCTCTCGTCCGCTGTACGACATGGACAGCAAGTAGGACTTCAGCTAAAGAGAGGGACAGATCAAGAATACAGTATTACGCCCAAACAGATTAGCATGATGAAGTTACTTTAATACTGAAAGAGAAATTTAGCAAAAAAATCCAGTTACCCTGATGACAAATGACAACTAAGACGTGTTTGTTGTCTGAAGTTTGCTTCCCTAATTTTTGGCTAATGGCTATTAGAATAATGTAGTAACACTATTCTATTTGGGTGACTTTGTGGAAAATAACTGTGGTAAACGTTTTAAATGGGATTTTGGAGGGACTTTTGGTGGGACTTTGTCATCTTCAGTTAGGCCACAAAACAGTAATTAATCTAGTAAAAAAAAAAAGAACAGAATCCTGAGTGTCACTTGAACTTTTCAGTTGGAGGCCACTTAGCCTGATGCTTTTTGTCTGAGCCTTTTAATCTAATGTCTGAAACCTGACATTGTAGTCTGAGGATAGTCATAAACTGGTCAACATAACATATAAAGCTTTTTGTACAGGTATGATATCTCCCTGCCGCAATGGTACACAGTGAACCCTGATAACGATTTTACAATGTTATTGGATGAGTCATTCAAATCAGAGCCGTTAATCAACAACTTTGAGAGAAACTCAAAAAGCTTTGGTAGATATGCATGTGCCAGTTTTGTGTACATTTTTGTGAACATATCATAAATAAACGCAACCAAACTAGCACAATTAAAGTAACTAAATTAAAATCAGTGATGGGTTTTACAGTTAACTGTAAAAGCTTGCATGATAATGAATACATTCACACTGGTTTCAAATGAGTTTTTACCATCACTAGAGGAGACCACAGTTACCATTGTTAACCATCATCAGACACAGGCCTAGCATCATATAAACTACATGCCTAAATCATAATTAATTATCCATCACGCTTAATTTAAGTTAAACAAGTTGTTAAATTATCTACAACAGACTTGTGTGGATTCTGACACTGTAGGACATACTGTTTTCTACAAAAATGGACAAAAATACATTTTTAAGATTACCATTGTTACTGTTTTTAGCAATATAACATACTTTTCCAAGCTTCCTTTAGTTGTTACCTCTTACTTCTAAAAAGCAAATTTTGGACATCAAACATGCCTTGGCTGATTGATTCTGTCTGGCTAAGGGGAAAACGCATTCATACAATCTGGAAGTTTTTATGAATGGGATCTTTTGCCATTTTTATTTCTGGTGAACTGAGTTTGTAGGTCTGTGTATGCGTACCTGTACTTTCTTCAGTAGTCTCCCGGCTCTGCGGTCAAACACTGCCACTGTGTTGTCTTTGCTGCCAGAGAGAATGTACTGTTCATCTGAGGCCAGGCACAGTACGGCGTCACCATGGAGACGAAGGCTCTTGACCAGAGGCTCTGCGGCTGCAGCACAGATAGATCATAAATGAAAACATCCGAGATGACATTAAGGATAAACGTTACAGGAGGTCACATGACTGATGACTGTCCAAAACACAAGAACAAAGAGAAAAGATAAAAACAAAATATAAGCTTCTAGATGGCTGCTATTACTGTTGTTACTACTTCTGTCCATTTTTATAGATAACAGTCAGCCTTAAAGTGTCAGAAACCAGTCTAATTGACATTACTTAACTTGGCAGCTGGGTTTGTATGTACATTACTTGTTTGCTAAATTAGCCTGTATAATTGGCATATAGTGCTCAAAAGTAGTTTTAGGACACTTTAATCATCAATTGTTTTTTTAAAATGATTGAATTTGCTAATGTATTGTGGAAATTTTGCTTTAACATATTCAAATTTCAGCTATATTATGACTTATCAATCAATACTTTGAGTTGAAATGAGCAATATCAAGCAAGAAAACATTGACCTAATTCCCCATTTTACTTCCAAACATATATTAACAAACTAATGCATACACGTTCAAACCAGAGGTGTACATCATACCTTTAAACATATCTGACTCTAAATTTCATTTACATTCTGAAAGATACAGAAAGTTAGAAAACTAAGAAAACTTGAGTTGAATTAATCTGTCAAAGATATTGTCTGTTGGTAAGTGTTTAAAACGTGCCATGCTCTGGCATCCAAAAGTGAAAATCCAACAAGCTTGGTTGAGCATCAGATGTGCAAATTCATGTGCTCCATGCCTAGAAAGACTTCAAGCTGTCACCCAAAAAAAGGATATGCAACAAAATACTACTACAAAACAACTACTTAAAATACTGAGCACTGACATACATAAAGGAAAGATACACTAATGATCATCCTGCTAATGTTTCAGTACTTCTACTTTCCTTGCTTAAGTTTTTAGTTAATTATTCGGATCATTTTAAGTCACAATTAGTAAACCTGGTCATTATAGCTTTCTGATGGATACAAAAAATAATGATGAATTTTCATCGTAAGGAAAAAAAAAAAACAAGATATAAAATATTTTCAGAGAGGCCAGTACTACTTTTGAGCACTGTATATGTGATGTGCTAAGGGCATTTCAACAGTAAGACCTAAGTATGATCTAAGTACTAACTATGTAGTATGTGAAGCAAATTTCAGATACCAAATGTGATGGCTGACCGACTATATTCAGGGTAACAGGGAAATTGTGTAAAAGTGTAAGACCTTCATACTCTAACATGAAGGAGAAAAACTACATTGCAAAAACACACATCATATGTAAAGATCCTTTTAACCACTAACCTCTGGTATCATAAATGCTCACTTTCTGGTCATGTGACCCAGCAAGCAGTGTATCTGCCTGGCAGGAGAGGCAGAGCACGGCGGCTCGGCCGCGGATCAGCCCCCGCTCGGCGCCCCCGGCCTCCAGATCCCACAGACGAACCGTGCTGTCGAAAGAGCCAGAGGCCAGGAGAGGTCCGCTGGCCGCCAGGCACCACACCCAACCCCGGTGTGTGCTATAGAGGCCACGGCCCCCCAGCGTGCGCAGAAGCACCCCCCTGGGGCCCCTGCGCAGGTCCCATAGATTGACGTTGCGATCCCTGGAGCCGGAGGCACACACTGCGCCCTCACCGCCCACCAGCAGGACGGAGTTGACATCTGCGATGTGACCCGACGGGAGAGTGATGTGCTCCAGGGCTGGGGGAGGACTGGGTGATCGGGCAGGTGGGGGGTCAGTAACTGCACCTTCATCTGCAGCTGAGTAATAAAACCACAATGATAATGATTGAAACAATCAAATCAATATTTTTTCCAATATTGATGATAAAACATTTTTTTTCTCAATAAAACGATTGTGTTGTTATGATCTTCATTTGAGTGTTAGTGAATTTTGAACAGTTGATTTCAAACTTCGTTGTACTAGCTAGCTAGCTGTTGCAGTACTCAGGTGTGGTTTCGGTCTTAAGACCACAAATTAATGGTCTCAGTCTCGATCATTTTGACTCAGTCTTTGTCTCGGAGTAAGGTGGACTTGGAAATTGTGCTCAAGATCAGCTATGTGCAATCCCTAAATCTGAAACAACTGAAAACTGACCTTTTTTTTACTGACTATAAACAATACCTTCAAACAGACTGAAACAGTCCTTACATGTTTTTTAAAATCTGTTGACTGCTAGTTGATCTAACTGATCCTTTCCACAATAGCATAAAACCAGTTATTATTAGTTTGTTGGTGTTTTTGGTTCCAAAATCAAAACATTTCCTGGGTGTAGATCGGACCCTGTTATTACTACTGTGTTTTAATTTTATAATAAAACTGGATTTATGCTATTTGGTTTGTATTCAGTTGACTTTTTGGTGACTTATGAATAAGTTTTAGAGGAGAGGCAGAGAATATATTTATACTACATATATTACACACATATCCTCTGAATAAATGTTAATGCATTCTCTGTCTTGTTTTGGAGTCGACTATTACCAAGTCTTGGTCTTGACTTGAACTTGATATGTTCAAGTTTTGTTCTTGACTTAGACTTGCCTTTCATGGTCTTGACTACAACATTAGTATTAGCTGCGCCTTTTAACTACTAGTCTGGAAAGGAGGAAATGGCTACCTAGCTATTTTCAGTGTTGAAATTATGAAGAGTATTATTATGAAGAGAGTGTCTTGGAATAAAAGAACACTATAGCAAAGTAAAGCCCACATGTACTCTGCAGTCTGAAATGCGTTTGGTTTTATCAGATTTAATGCACAGCACCAAGAATAAGGAGGGATCATATTGGTATCAGCAGGCAATTGTTTAATTAAATTTGAATTTGAATTCCAGTCAGATTATTAGATTTTACTGATATTGCAAACCAATATTTGATGATGCCATTATGGTATCCAGGAAGTGCATGGCCCAGTTTCCCAAAAGCATCCAAGCATTAAGACCAGTTTAACTAATAAACAGTGTTTGTGGAGGTGCTTGCAAAAAAGCTGCAAAAATGATCCCAGGTTATATTTATCCCATGTGAATCGACATGAAATAAAAATGCTATCATTTCTGTGGAAAAGAGTTTCTTAATTATGGAAGCGCTTAAAAGAAAAAATGTACTTGCTTCTTTATGGTTAACATAAAGCCGATATGCATTCTTCTACCTCAAATGTATGACTCTGAGCATTAAAACATAAAAAAATAAAGAAAAAAAGTGGTGACAGCCCTACAACACACTTTTGGATTTAGAATTGCACAAATGAGTAATTACTGACAACTCTTTTCTATAAAAAATCCATAAAAATCGGTCATGACTTTTGGTCATATTGCCTACCTTCATACATCATGTCCTCAAGATTGTCATTGTCTTGCCTACGGTCTCCACCTCCGCCTTCAGGGTGGTTTTGATAGTTCTGCCCATCCTCAGCAACACCACCAGCGATTCCGTTCTCTCTTCCCTCATCTCTAATGATTGGTGCTGCATTGTCGTCCCTTACTTCTCCTTCTCTATGTCTTACAGGACGATCTTCAACATCTTCTTGTGATGCTTGAGGCCTGTCTGGCTCTATCACAGCTTCATGTGCTGCTCCATTCACTGCTCCAGCTGCTTCTTCACCTTCTTCATCAGCGCCATCCTGCTCTGGGATCTCTTCTATCTCCTGCTCTCCCTCTGCTTCTTGCACTTGCGCAACTCGTTGACATGCAGCCCACTCCTCCTGCCTAGCCCAGCGCTCAATCAGCTGCTCCATCTCCAGGCAGGCTGTAGGCCAATCAAAGTTGTCCCTCGGCCCAACAGGAAAGGAGGTTTTTGGGCCCGTCAGGCGGTGAGCCCGGAGCTGCCAGGCTGAGGTGTCCTCACCCACCTCACCCAAAGCGCGGCACACCTGAGAACAGAGAGAGAGGGATATTGTTTTCAGTAGAACCACTTTAAATTATCTTTATTGACTTGTCAGTAGACTGACATGTAGCCTTGTGTCGATAGTTGACATTACTGAACATCATGATAATTTAAAGAAGTGCTGATATTATGCAAATTATTGTTCTTTCATTCTCTTTCTGTAAGCCAAATAGCTGGATTTATGTAAATGAGTCGATTCTCATGACATCACAGAAACAATGAATTCTTGAATGAATTCTACACAAAAGAAGTGTGAGTTTGCCCATTCTTCACAGTCATCTTAAAGATCTGATAATATAGTCACATAACTGCCCATTTCCTATGTGAGCCCACACTTCAGTTACTCACTCTCATAAGCACATAACAGTTACCTGGTAGTTTCATAGTACTTACACAGTAATGAAATAATAAGCCTATGGCTCAATGATGGTACGTTATGCTGAATGGAAAGAATGAGGAAGAGAGAGTCGATTTTACATCAGGTAAACAATGTCACCATATGGCCACATCAACACTCAGGCTGTGGAGCAGCCTAAAACACTTCTGTCTGATCCTATGCAAATCCTGAGTAAAAATGTTTAGCTAAAGCTATATTATATTGCATCCATGAACCTGAACACCTTACCTGTGGTAGAACATTGATGACACACTGTGCTGGTAGATGTGAGGCAATGCGGGCAACCATCTCCCATGGCAAGGACAGCAGGCCTGAAGGAGAGGGGCTTGTCTCTGGGGTGTTAAGAGGGGGCGCCAAATTTAATCTGCAGAGATAGTTTACCAACTTTAACGTAGACTTAAAATATAGGACTACATTAAACTCATTTACCATGAGACAGGAAACAGAGAAGGTACAAAGAGCTAGTAAACAAGCCTATCATCAGTTTGTGAACAATTACTTTCTGTGAGGTAGATTCAGAGGCATTAAACGCTTCGGCCATCTGGTTCCTATGAAAGCTCTAAAGGGCCATGGAATGGCATTTTTTAAAGCTTTTTTTCTGTAATCAAGGTCCTGAGTCACTTATATCATTACCAGAACATAACAAACATTGTTTTATCAAGACAACATTAATCACGATAATGGCATAAATATCTTGAGGTCTCAAGTAAACAACATTGATTATGTTACAAAAAACAAAGTAAAAAAAACATGCAAATCTGGGGGCATTAGTGGTGCCAATAGTTGTTCCTATCAACAACTCTGTGAACAATTCTGACTTGGTAAGTTTCTCTAAAACAGAACATTTCACATCTAAAAAAGCCCATTTCCCCTGTAGAGAGTCATAGTGAGCCATAATAATGAAATTTATATAATTATAATTATAACTTGGTATCTTATAATAATGATATCCTATTTCATGATTATGACTTAATATACCATAATGATGACTTGGCATCTCATAATAATGAATATGTCATAATTTTGACCTAACATCTCTTAATTATGACATACATTCCCAAACGTTTCTCATTATTATGAAATAGTAAGCCATTATTATGAGATATTAAGTCGTAATTATAACAAAGTAAGTTATAATTATGAGAAAGCAAGTCATAATTATGAGATATTAACTCAAAATTATATAAATTTTAACCACAAATATTAGAAAATAAGTAACAATTATAAGATGCTAAGTCAGTCATTATTATGAGATGTTAAGTCATTATTATGAGATATTAAGTTCCATAATTACGATAGTGTGAGATGCTCAAACGTTCTCGTAATTATGAAAGAGAATCTCATTATTAAGAGATAGCATGTTATAATAATGAGATGCTATGTCATACTTATGGAAAGCTTTCTCATTATTTTGGCTATATGTTTATCTCGAGTGGCGGAAAAGGGCTTCTATAATACGGGCTTCTGAATGACTTTGTTCACATCTTAACTGTTTAATCATGGATTGAATTATTCTGAGAAAAAAATACAGAACCACCCTTTACGCACACAGATACATTCATTTTCACGTCAATTACAGATCATTAATAATACACCAGTATTACTCACCCAAGTTGGCTTGGCAGAGGTGCATCGTTGCTGCTCAGACCAGGCGACTCCCCTAAAAAGGCATTTCTTCCTCTCACCTTCTCCTCTTCCTCCAGGGTGATCTGTGGCACCGACATCCACTCCACTACAACGCAGTGAAATATTAAAAAGTCAATATTAAAAAGACATCTCAGAATAAATATTTTCCTCGAGAGGAAGACGGACAAACCTGTTTCTCTATGATCTAACATGACCGTTATTGTTCTGTGAGCAACGCTAGTTAACGATACCTAGGTTAGCCATCCGACTCGACCTTTCCTTCACGACTGATTTCTTGTTCACTCGCAATAAAAGAAAACATTTCCGAACTGGTGAATAAAAAAACTCCTGTGTATTTTGAATAAACTCGATCGAATAACGTTAGCTAGCTAGGTGACTGTCAAAATGCTTGCCAGCTAGCTAGCTGGTCATTTCCTTACCAAGTAAGTGCTGGTCTCAGGACTGACTGGACAGCTCATTGATGATGACCGACAATTACCTCATGATTTCCTTTAATTATAAACTCGCGTTCAAAGAAAAAAAATCGATAAAATCGACAGGTCAGTCCGGCCACTCTCCGCCTGGCTCCTCAGAGATGCACCGCTGTTGTCGTCACTGCTCACTGCTCATTGGCAACTTCAGGTCAACGTTACAGTAACTGACATTAACGAAAGACTTTAACGTTACTGAATGACCCGGTAAACTCAATCTGACGGGAGAATGCTGAAGCTATCCATTCAATATTACAGGGAAATCTACAGCTGTTTTAGGCTCGTGTAGATTTAAAGACAACAGTTTACATCAACGGCTTCAACTTTAACCCAACAGCCGTTTGGTTTCATATCAACACTTTGAATTCTGTTTTGGTTCCGGCGTAGAACATTCTCGTCATGAATCGGTCTTCTACGATAAAAGTCTCCTCAAAACCTTTTTTAATTTAAAATCAAATTCAATTTACAATATGCAACTATTAAGCTCTACTGCATAAAAATACTATATATATATATATATATATATATTTTAACTTCAATAACTTTAGTGCTGTCAATTCCACATATCCAAACATGTCCCCTGCCTTTATTTTGAAAGCTAACCCAAGCTTCCTGTCCGTCTTGAAAAAGTAACGTTACAGTTGCTGGTTTCACGTCGTGACCCTCAGGTTAGCTTTCCGTTTCGACCCCTGATAGATATTTTTAAAACTGCATGCCATTTTAAGTGAAAACGCTACAGTTTCAGCTTTTAGGTCATGTTATATCTATAGAGATGAGCATTATCTAGCGTTAGTACTCGATGTCAAATAATGCTTTTAGATGAAGGGAGGGTCACATTCTCTAGCAACTAATCAACTATCGTTAGCTAACTAGGTTAGCTAACTAGCTCAACATTTTGATCTGAGATCTGGTTCTTTACAGCCGTTGAAAATAGCTTTGCAGACAGTTTACATTATTTTAGTATTTACTAACATACTGTAGTGTTTTGTAATGATGCGCTGTTGCGAAAAAGCCAGGGTACCATAAAATAAAATCACAGAAATAAAATGTTTTGATGAGCCTCCATTTGTGAACGCACATTTTATAAAATGCACCAGATTAGATGTGCAAATGACACCAGGCTCCCAGCACTTTTCCAAGTTTCAGAGTCATTCACTTTAACTAATTCTTTGCTCCACCGGTGACCTATAGATAATAGCTAACTGTTCTAAAAAGCAAGCCATGCAGTTTTTTTCATGAATGTTTATATACCCTATTTAATATAAACTTACACTGATGGGGCATAACATTAACAACACCTCCTTTATCTACACTCATTGTCCATTTTATCAGCTCCAATTATCATAGAGGCGCACTTTGTAGTGCTAAAATTGCAGACTGTCGTTCATCTGTTTCTCTGCCTACTTCGTTAGCCCCCTTTTACCCTGATCTTCAGAGGTCAGGAACCCCAATGGTGGACTATTCTCAGTCCAGTAGTGACACTGGGTTGACTAGCACTGCTTTGTCTGTTGGACTACAGTGTGTAATTGTAGAACTACAAAGTGCTCCTCTATGGTAAGTGGAGCTAATAAAATGAGAAAAGAGTGTAGAAATGAGGTGGTTTTAATGTTGGCTGATTAGTGTTCATATCAATAGTATAGGTAAATGCATAAGGAAACCTGTCTTTCCCTATCCTTCTCTTTTTGTGCATCACAGAGCTGTGTATCTGTTTAGTTTCATAACTTGGAATTACAGTTTGTGGTTGAAAACCTGTGGATGTCCTCACTTCCCGTAAACTGGAGGTCTCTTAGTTGAATAGGTACAACGGAATGGGTCCAATCCGTTGGCCCACTGACAGTGCAGTTCCGTCCAAGAGTTGGCTTAAAGGAGAATTCCTCTGACTTTATAGAAATTCTTCACAGTTAAGTTGTAAACAAAGTCATTCAGAGTGATTTGATATGAAATGCCGCCAGAGATAGTTACAGAGTCAGCTTTGTTCTCAGTGGTGGTGATAGGAACCAGACGTCTGAAGCATTTAATGTTTCTAAAAGCTACCTCCTAGAAGGTTGTTACATGAAATGGGTACGAATAGGCTGTCAGATGCCTGAGACATTGGATTACAATTGTTTTGAGATAAGCGTTTGGGCTAAAACATTTTTAAATCCATTTATGGCAGAGATATGCGTAGGGTGTTATAAGACAAAATAATATCCAAAGTAAACATATTTTTTCATATTTACCACTATTGTAAAATTAACATTATGTATAAAAACTATTACTTTTCGTTTTAGTAAATTAAATGGCTGTATTGAACACATTAAGACCCCTGGTTCTATTCTCCACCACTGTAAAAAATGAGTTGGTAAGTTTATCTACAATGAACCATTTCACATCAGATCACTCTGAGTGACTTTGTTTACATCTAAATGATCAATTTATGCAGAAAATGATGAGATCCCCTTAAATATAATACATTCATGGAAGATCAGCCTTTAATGAGTGAAAAAGGTTAGAGTTTCAAAACCAGTTAGGCAGTCAAAGATTATAACATTTTTCAATTACGTCAGTTGCTTGTTTAAGACATTCTTGTAATGTACACCATGTTAAAAGTGTGCAATGCTGGTGCTTGAGACATATTTCTTGTTTTGAAACAGGCATGGAGGATGACACACAGGAGGAGACCCTTGCACAATTCAAAGAAAAGCGTCTGGGAGGATGGGGCATCCTGCAGCTGACAGCAGGGACAGGACTGGCCGTCTATGCCATGTGGGCAGGAGTTTTGATGCCAGGGTTTCGCAGAGTGCCTCTTAAACTGCAGGTAAGATCAAAAAATAATTGGCTGATTTAAAATTCAGTGCAGAGTAAATCACTGATGAGTCTGATATCTATGTATGTGTGTATTTATGTGTTCATATTAGGTGCCTTACATGCCAGCTAGTAAAAGACAAGTGGGTAATGTTATGACTCTGCTGAAAGGTCGCTCTGGAGGTTTTGCTGACTTGGGATCAGGTGACGGTAGGATTGTAAGTAATTGTTTTATTTTGTTGTCATACTTGTTGAAGCTGTTTCCTTGAGCATGGCAGTGCCTGGTGCAGACAGAAGTGTTTCAAGGATGTACACTCTATACTGTATATATAGTACACCTTTGTAGACACCTGCTCATCGTACGTTTCTTCTGAAATTAAGGGTTCTCTCAAATCTGGGTTTTTTTAAGGGAGTTCCCCCCTCTCCCTTGCTGCAGTAACAGCCACTACTTGAAACATTGCTCTAAGAGTTTGATTGTATTCAGCCACAAAAATATTGGTGAGGTCAGTTACTGATATTTTGTATGATCAGTTCTGGATCATAAACGCCACTCCCAAATCTCCATCACTTCAGAGAGCACAGTTCCACTGCTTCACATGCCCCTCTAGATCACACTTGGCATTGGGCATGGTGATCTTAGGCTCATGTGTGGCTGCTCCAGAGTGTCCCACTGTATTGACTGTGCTTTTCTATGGGTTCATACAAGCTGTTTGGTGCATTTGAATGCCTGTGTCAGCAATTGTTGCACCTTAAAGTGGCTGAAATCACTAATTAAAAGAGACTTTTTTTTTGGACATTTTGCCCAATCCAAATCTCTGGACTCCAGTATGTGGCCTTCGGTCTCACCCACTTTGGACCTGCATTTGGTGATATTTACTCAAGTCCTCAAATTAATCATGTTGAATCTATGAGGATACAAGTGTATAAAAAAAGCAGGACAGTTCAGCTTGAAGCACTTTTATACTGACACTGACAGCATAATTCATAAGACTTATGATGAAAGATCTGCTTTTGTTTTTCTTTTCAATTTTTGTTCATTATGTTTTCAAACTACTCATGTTTCGTTTATCACGTTCAGTTTGCTAGGACTTTTGTGTGACTTCCTGAGCAATGTTTGCAAAAGCCTGTGTCCCAGGTGGAATGCTTTCCAGAAGTTTGCAGAAAGTCTACGTTATGTCCTACATGAATGGCAGAACTAGACAGACTTATGGCCCTGTGGACTTTCTTAGTAATGGGCACGTTAAGTCCAGAGCACACTAGAGATTTTGAATGGGCAATAGTGTATATTCTTATCTTTTCTGTTTTAGTCTAAAGTAAGTCTAGGCTCAAAATGGAAAATGACTGTGCACGCAAAGGTCATTTCTGTATGATTGTGTAGGTAGGAAGAAATGTTTCATGCTGTTTCCATTACTGCTGCACCTGCAATTTACATTGTACAGGCAGCTTAACTGATGCAGGACTATTATGTGTGTGAGTAGGTGTTAGAGGCGAGCCAGCAGGGATTTTCTCCTGCTGTAGGCTATGAGCTGAATCCCTGGCTCGTCCGGCTTGCACGCTTTTATGCTTGGAGAGCTGGCCAATACAAAAAAGTCTCATACCGACGAGAGGACCTGTGGAAGGTGAGCCAGTTGACTATAGTTGTCTCAAGACAGGCCCTATTTAATTCTGTGCTGTTGACAAAAAATTGATAGAAATGATCACTTTTATTTGTGTGTACAGGTTGATCTCTCTGGCTATAAGAATATCTCTGTGTTCTTGGCACCAAGTGTGGTAAGTGTATCAGTGGTTATCATAAACACAGTGTTGTGAACAAACAATTAGCATTTAAAGTGCTGTGCAAAAGTCAGAGACCAGTCTTTATTTATTTAATTTCCAGTAAAAACACTCATTAAGTACAACTTCTTCATTGTTTAAGAGGTATTTTTTGAGAAGAATATATATATGAAAATCCACTTGCATAATGGAGGGAAAAGTCAAAGCAAAATAAGTGAAAAAAGGAGTCTTACAAACCAGAATTCAAAAAATGATTAAACAATATAGAGAAAATGGGACTCCTAAGAACCATGCAAGACCTGGCAGGCCACCAAAACTGTCCCCATCAGATAAACAGCACTTTCATCTTTGAGAGAGAGGAGAAAATCAAGCTTCCACTCTTGCTTCAGATCTGAAGCTGTCACTGTGAGATAACAGCTCAATGCTGTGGGTCTGAATGGATGTGTAGCTGTCAAGATGCTATTATTATATGAACAAAAAAGCTGCTGGCCAGCCCAGTGCAGACCTGAACATCACTGAATGTGCTTGGGATTACTTTACTTATTATGAAAATCAGAAAAGTTCCAAGACTGAACTTTACAGATGTGGAAAAATGTCTGTGCAAATTTCTTTGGAAAAACTAAAAGCAAGACTCCCAAAAAATTAAGGTGCCACAAAGGCAAAGGGTGGACACAATAAATCTGGAAAGTTGGTATGTAATTTAGTTGTTGAGGCCTCTTTTCTTTACGCTGAAAAAAGAATTAGTTGTACTTAATGTCCATTGTGAGTCAAGAGTAAACAAATGAAGGGTGATCTATGACTGTGGCACAGTACAGTTTTACAGCAAGTATTCATTCTATTGTCTTTTGTCTATTAGCTCACACTTTTACAGGAGAAGTTGCTGACCGAGCTCCCTGAAGATGCTTTGATCATTGCTGGACGCTTCCCCTTTCCTAACTGGACACCGTGCAGGATAGAGGGCGAAGGTGTGGACAGAGCCTGGGCGTATCATATGGAAGCGCTCAGAAAACAGAACCAGTCAAAGAACATTACATCGACTGAGCACACCAGATGATACAGAACTCTACTTTAATACCATTTTATCAATACCATTAATACAATAGTATTAATACTATAATACTATTTTATTACTTCTTATCATTTTATAACATTTTAATTTACTGTTTTTATGGTTGTTTTATTCAACCTCTTGACTTTGCGCATGATGTAACAAGAATAACTTTCGCTTTCACTATTGCACACTCAAGGTTCACAAGGTTCATAATGGTGCAGACATCAAGCACTTGTGGATCTTTAGGTTGAAAGAATTGAAATTTCCACTAGTTGTGTAATTTCAACTATTTAAAAAATAGTGAATAAAGAGCTTCTTTCCAGGTCATTGTAATGACAGGGATGCAGTGTTCAGGGTATTCTTCAACCAGATTTGCTGGTAGCCCTTTTTTTTTACCGGAAATACAACGTGTAGATCACAGGATAAGCCCAAATTCTGCATTTTTCAAATGTGCTCTCAGCGATTGTGGGTGCTTTTTGAAGTCTTGGAACGATCGGGTCACTTCCTGCTTCTGTATGTGACCTAGTTAACTTAACTCCTCACGATAGTGACATGAACTTGAATAAGAGCAACAAAAAATAAACTAATTTATTCCTGAGAATCATTTCCTTCACATCTCAATCACTTCCCCTTTATCAGGAGTTGAGTTATGCGTATGTGTGTGTTTTTTTTTAATGTTTTGGCTGAGTCTTGTAAATGGCGTGACATGAAATTATGCAAGATGAGGAAAGGTTCATTGAAAAATCAAATGTGTGCCATTTTATCTCATTTTACCTTCAGTGTCTGAAGTTTGTTTTTTCAGTTCTGCACTAAAGCTACAAGGCTAATATAATAGAAATCTATGTTGCCCATAAAGATTTTCAGTGACATAGACATGTATTACTTGTTAGCTATGCCAGCCTTGTAGCTCATGTGTAAAACTAAAGAAACAAACCTAAGACACCCAGTGTTTCTTGGCTGATCAACTATGTTTAGGCTAAGTATATTATTGTGTATATTAGATTTTTTGCTAAACCATTCTTTTAAGGTCCTGATGATGACAGCTCATGAACAAGGTGACCAAGTTCAATGGGTCAGCAGCCCCAGTCTGAGGCCCTTTTAGTCGACAGTTGTATTAGCGTTCGTTTCTGTCAGAAATGAGAAATGAGAATATGGGGGTTTCCTAATCTCTACAGGTCAGTCTGATAATGTGTCGATTGTCTTCAAGACTCAAGGCCTCTGTAAAGAACTGCTTTATCTGGCCTGAATGTCAACCCTCAGGGAGGCTGAGAGTCAGGCAAACTCACATGATCCTTCATTTATAAAGAGAAAAACAGCCTCAGATAGAATAAAAGGGAAATATGAATGCTGAGTAGCATGTTGCATGTGTTGCAGAAGAAAAAAATTATGGACCAGTTTCCCTGACCCAGATTAAGCTTAGACTTAAATCAGCATATGAGTGTGGGTGTGGACTAGGTTTATGTCACATTTTGGGAACCAAAACCTGTTCATTGTATATATAGCACAACTTAACTGTATGGTAAGTGGTCCTAATGAAATACTATAAACATAAATAATGATAAAAGCGTCTGACGTCTGTGTAACTGTTTTGTGTGTGTGTGTGTGTGTATATATATATAGAGAGAGATATTTACACACATGCATACATGACTCAGCAAAGATAGACTAAAAGGTAAAACATGAAAAAAAAAAGTTTTTGACAGTACATGAGCTTTCTTCATAACTTGTGGGTGGTAATATGAATCCACTAAACTCTTTTATCAACTGTCGAAAACGGCAGTTTGTGCTGTTTTGATAATGACTAATTTTGATGGCGCTGTATCGTGGCGTAAGCTGCTTGATTTTGCCACACTTCTTGTTGCGGCCGGTTTCATCCGGCCCAAGATTAAGATTTCACATCCGGCGGGGAGGGGCGCTGGTGGGGAGAGAGAGGAAGCTGCGAGGCCTGGACGAGAAAAGAGCCAGCGACTCTCTAAAAACGACAGGAGAGGCTGTGTCGCTTTGTAGTGAGTTCAGAAAAAGCGAATATAGCGGTCTGGCTTGCGAGGGGCAGGACGTTTCACCCGGCGCCGCCGTTAAAGACTGTTAGCGGCGCTTGACACGAGCTCAGTCCGCCCCCTCAGCACCACCTCACCGGGCTCCACAATAACAAGTGTCGGCGGCGCTTCACCGAAACGAAACCAAACGAGGCCCCGGGGGGTCGAGGTGACCGCCATGCCGTGTCTCATCGCTTTTAGACGGTGAGGGGAAACAAAAAAAGGGCCGTGGCAACGATGAAGAGATGGGAGTCTCTCCTGCTTAAACTGTAGCCGCACACAAACAGGCAGCAGCCCGGAGAGGAGAGGAGAGGACACCGGCCATGGTGAGTCAAGCAGCCTCACAAACACTGAACACCCTTCTTTATGTCAAGTTAGTTAAAACGAGCTGGCTGCAGTTATAGGTATTTATTTTATGTCCCACGTGTCTGTATGTGAGGTTTTGGGCTGCGTGGCCACGTTTTAACATGTTTTTTTGTCATTTTGTTTGAGCACTGATTAAATTTGAGATGTAATTTTCTGTCGTGAACGTTGTTGATGCTGTAACGTTAACAGTTTGTTTGCGGACCTGTGGGAGGCTTTAGGCTTCGTCGTGTTGGGGTAGAGGAAGAGTAAGACGTTAAAACGTTTAAAGAACACGTAAAGAGAGCAATAACGATGCTCCCTCCACCGTGGTCCACATAACGGTCTAGATAAAACCGAGTTCTTCGGTGGTTCCACTCGCCTCCGCCCCGCTGGAGGTATGTCGAGACGTGTTGAGACTCATACGAAGAATTCGGCTGCTGCAGCAGAGAGGAGAGACTCACAGCTCTCTTCCTCAAATTCTCTTCCTCCTTTTCACTTTTATATACACAGACGCACATACGTAGTCAAATGGTGTGTGAACTTGATGTGTTTGAAAGAGCGATTGAGAGGAAATTGTGCGGTGACTGCGTTTAACATGTAGACGAAAAGGCCTCAGTCTGTCAACGCAGAGGCCTGCACTTTTATCACTCACTCGATTTGACATCTGTATCTTTTTGTCTCTGTCTGTCTTTCTCAACTTTCTTGTCTCTCTTTCTCTTTGTTCTTTATTTATTTTCTCTATGCCAATTTCTATCTCTAATCTTGTTCCCTCTGCCTGTGCCCCTCTCATATCTGCAGGCGTCGGAGGAGACATCCCTGCGTGCACTCGAAAGCCTAATGACGGAGTTTTTTCACAGCTGCACTACCAATGACCGCAAGAGAGAGATTGGTAAGCCTAACTATGACCTGCCTTATTCTTTGTACCATCATTTACTGTTTGATCAGTAGGGCATCACCCCTACCCCTTTAATATTTATGGCTAGTGTATTATGGCATTTTTCTACGAAACAGTATGTACAGCATGGTACGGTTACAGATCTGAACTGTCTGTACCCTGGTTGAGTACCTATGTCCATTTCACACTGTGTAACAGAGCTGTGAAAGTAGCTGTGGCATGATTTCTCATACAAATCTAGCGTTAACAATAAAAACTCCAACAGTTGCAACTATGGAGGAGCTTCAAGTTCAAATTTACCATTTACAGTGGAAAAACACACAATTAGACACAAATGCAACCAGTTCTGTTCAAGCTATTGGACTTGTTTCACCATTATTATTATTATTATTATTATTATCTTATCTCAAGTTATGAAATCTAGTTAGCCAGGCAGCTAGCTACGGTTACCGATGTACAGAAAAGGTATAACAAACTAAAGCGTGATAAACTAAAAGATAAGGATATTGTGAGAGCGTTTTGTGCAGTTTTTCAGAGTATCACTGCTCCACAGTTTAACTATCATTTCCCAAACCCCTTAGCTGAGCGTGCTAACGTTATTCCTCCTAATAAAGACACACATTCAGCCCTGTCTCGTCATTGTCCACTACCATCACTGTAATATTTTATCAACATTAACACACAAAGGTAATAAGAGGGGCGGTGGAGATCGTGTCTGCAGCATCTGGGGTTTCAAAACACTGTTAGAAAAAAAAATCTCACAAGTCAAACCACAGTTTTCAGTGTAGATAAATGTAGCATCATTATGCTAGTCATAGAGAGCTATGTTGCCTGGCACTGCACAAAACAATAGAAACGGACGGTTAAAACAGACAGTTAAGACAGCTCTGGAGTTGTTTTAAAGTTAGGACAGAATTTAGGAAATTCTGCCTAGTTAGGATGTTTTTCTAAGACTGTTTTATTTCTTAGGAGTTAGGATAAGATTATGAACTTCATAACTGTTCTGTTCTGTAATAGCTTCTGTCCTAAATTAAGTCCTAACTAAAGTTCTCATGGTGACTAAGCAGATAAGATTTCAGACTTAAGAAGTTTCTGTATTATGGCACTGATGATCTTCTATGTATAATAATGAAGTGATACAATGTCAGTTTGCAAATGTACATTCAGCCCATATATTCTTAGCAAAAAGGGTTCTATGTGGCATTGAAAAAGGGTTGTTTTGATTCTTAGTAATTGGGGAACACTTTGGTGCTAAATAGAACGTATGTATACTAGAGGGTCTCCATCACTGGACCATTTAACCATACAAAGAACCATTTAAACATTAGTTCACACCACAAGTTGTTGTGATTCTGTATGCAAGCATTGCCTTTATTAAAGGACACTTAAACCCTTTTTTAAATGCAGCTAGTAATGCAACAGTGTGCATATACACAACAAAAAAAAGAGAGTACTGTATTTATATATGCACAAAATGAATATGTAGCATGATGTATATTTGTACACATCTGGGCAGTTTTGCTTCCCTTTCTCCCAGTGGAAAGTCTTTCGTGCAAGTAGCTAGTAATTTAGTCCAAGTATCCATCAGAAAGGGGAGAGTTTAACATTCATAAAGTAAAGGGTGCCAGTGCTGTGGTCTGTACTGTGAGATCAAAAAAACTTCATGATATTTAATGCATGTTTTTTTTTTTGTTTTTTTTTTGTTTTTTTTTCTTCAGACACCAGTCCTAGCCAACTTCTTTCCCCCATTTACACTAGATAAGGCACAATACTACTTTATGGAAATATTAAAACTTTGAGTATCAGCTGATACAGATTCCAATATTAAAAAAAAAAAAGTAGTAAGCTTTAAATAAGCATTTTACTTAAAATGAGCATCTAAAAATTGGCTATCATGCTCAAACCTCTTAAACACTCTACCACCCCACAGGAAGAAATACACACTAAACATCACATCACAGAGTATGAGTGTGTGCTATTTCAGGACAGATAGTACCATCTACAGCACATTCTCCATCAATCTGAAGAACCCTTTCGACATAAAAAAAATGCCTCTATCATGCAAAGGGTTTTTTGAGTGTTCATGGTTCTGTATAGAACCATTTTCTTTACTTAAGAAACCTTGAAGAACCATCATTTATAAGAGTGCAGTTCATATTTCTTTTTACCATGCAAGGAAGAATCTTTTTAGTGGTTGTGTTATACAGTTGATCATATATAGGCTAGACCACATGCAGCTTTTAACTCTGAGTACTGCATGCTCATGTCATGTATGGAGCCCTTGCTTTAAAAATGATGTAATCATAGAATCTAGACATGTTTGTGTCTTCTGTCGGCCATTAAAGGGCTAAATGGTTGTGTTGTGTTATT